AATGAGATTCGGGCCCTCGTCTGCCATCCACCTCCCCAGGGCGCCAGCACCCCCACCCCCACCCCGACCCAGCCTCCGAGAGCCCCAACTCACCAGGCCCGTGTGGGCGGTGCACCAGGACGCGGCAGGCGGGGTGCCGGCACAGCAGGTTGCAGATGAAGGGCAGGACCATGAGCAGGGCCTCGGGGGGAGCCGTCAGAGCCAGGCGGGCCAGGCGCTTGGCGAAGGCGGCCACCAGGTAGGCAGGGAGGTGGCTGGCAGGGCAGTGGTGGTGAGGCAGGGCCGGGACTGTGAGCCCCCAGCACCCTCCCAGCTGTATCACAGAGCCAGGCAGAGCCAGGTGCCCCAGGACTCACGAGGATGACAGGAAGAGGTCAGCCAGGTGGAAGAAGCGGGCTCGGTACTTGACGTGAAAGACGGAGGGATCCAGGAGGCCGTATAGCTTCCGGTAGAAGTCGGGGTACTCCCTGCAGGTGGGGAGGAGCAGCGGATGGAGCGGCCGGAACCACGGGGCTGTGGCCGGGAGGGAAGGGGACGGAGGGAAGGGGACGTGGGGATGGAGGGAAGGGGACGTGGGGAGCAGGGCTGGGGCTGGGGCTGGGTGGGAAGGGGACAGGGGAGCGGGGCCAGGGGCCGGGTAGGAAGGGAACGGGGGAGCAGGGCTGGCAGATTCGGAAGTGAGAAGAGTGGGGACTACTGGGGCAGGGTGGGACGGGGCAGAGGAGCGGGGCTGGTGGATTGGGAAGACCTGCACCCCCACGACACTCACAGGTTGTGCTTGTGAATCAGGATAAACAGCCCATTCAAGGCCAAGAGGCTGAGAGCACCCCCTGCAGACAGACATAGGCTGGAGCCGAAGTGACCCTGCTTTTATCCCACCTCCTGCCCACGCTGAGTGTAAGTCTGTGGAGTGTGGCCCCTGCCCCTGCTGTCCCCTCCCATTGCCTCATGGACCCAAAGCTAGAGACCACATGCCAGGTGGGGGAGTGGTGGGTAGAGGCACCGTGGGTGTGGGTTAGGGTTAGGGTTAGGTTAGGGTTACGGGCAGGCGCTGAGGAGGTGGGAATGCGGGGGAGGCGCTGCGGGGGTGGGAGAGTGGGGGGAGGGGCTGCGGGGGTGGGAGTGGGGGAGGCGCAGTCCCCCAAACGTGAGTGAGGTACCCACACTCACCCAGGTCACAGGCTCGGGTGAGGAAGTCAATCATGAGCCTTGGCTGTGCCAGCTGGGGCAGGATGGCATCATGCACGATCACCAGCACCTTCTTGTAGAGGCTGAGGGGCAGCTGGGGAGGGCACGCAGGTCAGGTGAGGCTCCCCCCTTGGGACAAGAGGGCACCGCCCCGCCACCACCTGGCCTACCTTGTGCTTCAGGAAGTTGAGCCACATGGCCTGGAAAGCCTTCCTGTGCTCCTGCAACGGGGTCCAGGCCTCACTCGCCGCCCCTACCCCTGACCCAGGGCCCAAGCAGCTTCCAGGGTCCCCCAGAGCCCAGCCCTGAGATCTAGCACAGGTCTGGTCCCCTTTTCTGACCCCACCTTCCCCTTCCTGTCACGGGCTCAGACGCTCTTATCTCCAGGTGCAAGTCATGAGCGCCTGGCCCCCGAGGCTGGGGTCTCAGAACAGCCAGAAAAGCAGCCTCGGAAGACGAGGGCCAAGAGGGGGGCTGCAGCCACACAGCCTGCAGTGGCCACAAGTGGCAGCAGAGGCTCCAGACCCCGAGAAGTGACAGGCCTCTGACCTGAGGGAGGCCCCTCCCACACTGCTTTGTGAGTGAGCCGGCGGCCCTTTGAGCTGCCACCTGTGCCCTGGGGGTTTTCTCAGGTGAAGAAGTTGGCATCGGGCCTCCTCAGGGCCTCACACACACCCCACACACACCCCACACACACCCCCAAGCCTCTGGAGGGTACCTGGCCCTCCAGAGGCAACTGACCTTCAGGTGAGCGACCTTCCAGGTGTCCGACAGCTCTGCAGAGAAAGCGAGAGCAAGGTGTCACCTGACCTGCAGGGGAAGCAGACGAAGGCCCAGCCATGTCCGCCCCAGCCCTCGGGACACTCACCCGAGCGCTTTACGTAGAAGCTAGAGGCAGTGGGCTCCCGGCGGGGCAGGCTCACAGCGGACAGCAGCGTGAAGGCATTGTTCCAGAAGGTGAGGGGCACCTGCGGAGCCGGGGCTGAGTGTCTGGACGCCACCCTGGTCCCTGCCTCCTCAAGGTACCAGCATGACGCAGCTATAGGACCTGGCCGCTCACCTCAAGGTGCTGACCAGTGATCCGGGCCACGGTGTCCACGGCTGCCCGCATGGTGTGGTAGCGGATGTCATCATGGTCCAAGTACTCCCGGAACTGGGACAGGAGCAGGCTTTGGTCCTCCTCAGGAGACAGCAGGCCTCCCACCACCAGCTGGAGTAAGGAGCAGTGAAGAGCCCGGCCCAGCACAGGCCAGCACAGGCCAAGCAGGTGGCCCCATCCCGCCAAGCCCAGCATCCAGACTCCTGGCTAGGTGGGACAGGAGAGGCACCCCCACGCGCAGGAGCCGCAGGAGGGTCCCAGCTCAGCGCAGCAGGCCCCGCCCCCACAACAGGGCCATCCTGGGCTCTGGCCAGCCAGGTCCTCTGGGACTCCCACAAGGCCCTCACCTTGAAGAGGTCTTGGGGGAACAGGTAATTGCCTTCCCACTTGGGCTTCTCCAGCGGGTGCACTCCTTCCAGCTGCACAAACTTCATGAGTGTGCCCAGGGCCAGCTCCTGGGAAGGGGGCAGTGCAGAGTGACTGTGATACCCTCACCCACGGATGTGCCCAGAGCTCAGCCCAGTCAAGGAGGCCCTCACACCCAGGTCCAGCCCTGAGAAAAGGGGGGCCCGGCCTTCTCTTGCTCCACACACTGCCAGATGCCACTCTAGGCTTCCATGTCCCACCCATGACGTGGGGACAAGATCCTGAGTGAAAGACAGACTCTGGCCGGGGAAGGGCACACAGGCCAGGTCTGCTTTATGAGCCACCAGGCTGGTCTCTGGTCACCTGTGTCATGGCAATACCACCGTAACCCTCGGGAACCGCTGTGAAAACACAGGCATGTGACACCAGCACAGTGTCAAGCGGAAGGAGCCACACATCCTGTGACCCCCTCATGAGGAGCATCTAGAGAAAGCAAACCCACTGATGCAGAAATGAGATTAGTGTTTGCCCAGGGCTGGGCATGGAATGGGTGGGACATGGGAGTGATAACAGGTACAGGATTTCCTTCTGGGCAATGACAACGTTCTGGATGGTGGTGACCTGTGCACACCTCTGTGAACACAGTAACAGATGCTAACTGTACATGAGTTATTTCTCAGTACAGCTTCTGAGAAAGCTCGTAACTCATTCCCGTGGCCACAGACCACAGTGTGGGCTAAGCAAACACATCTGCAGCCTAGACTGGCACGAGGCCTGGCGTGTGCTCTCCGCAAACACACAGATCCCCGCGGATGCCACTGGAGGCGAAGACAGGCTCTGACTCCTCCCCTTCAGTATCCAGCATGGGACTCGACAGCCATGCTTCTGAACCAAACTGAACTCCCATGAACGGGAGACACACGAGGCTGCCCACCGGAACAGTGGTCAAAGGAAGCAGCTTTTCCTGGACAACTGTGGGAGCCCCAGACCTCTGCTCCGTGGATAGCCTGGGCAGGGGGTGCAAGAAATGGACAAGGATGAGGCCAGCCCAGTGATCCCAAAGACCCACCTTGACCTGAAAAGAGGGGTGCCCCAGGAGCTCCCCCAGGCGACTGCAGCAACTATGATAGCGGTGTCTCATCCACACCTTGTACTTGCGCATGGCTCCCCTGGACCCTGCAGACAGAGTTAGGCTGGTCAGCCCCCATGAGGCCCACACACGCCAGCCCAGGCCCAGCCCAAGGTCCCAGGCCTGGCCCCACCCTCCCACTGTCTTCTCACCCTCCACAGGTCACTGCGGCCCCCAGACCTGCGCTGGGACTAGCACACGCCCTGAACCCTGCAAACAGGAAGAGCAGCTCCTACCCAAGGACTGCCCCAGCCAAGCTGCTAGGGGCAGGATCCCCACCCCCCACTTTACTCCGAGACCTGATGTCCCCCTGAACGGACCCCAAAGCTCCGATTTTAAGTGGCAGTATCAGCATTAATCAACATCAAATTACAAAGGGGTGCAAAACACACGCATTCATCTACACCCAGCTGCAGAGCACCCATGTCACCCCTCCCCAACGGCACTGCCCATCCTCCACGGTGGGTTTGGTGTGTCCTCCCACCGGCCTGCACAGCCTGTACTAGGGTTGGGGACGCTCATCCCACGGTGACAAAGCCTCCCTCCGACCCACAGAAAGAGGAAGAGCAGCCCTGGGGCCCTCCAGTGGTTACCTATCATGACCATCTCCTCAGAGGGCAGCTGGCCCACAAACAGCTCTCCCCGCTCTAGCAATGCCCCAAAAAGACGGCTGCACGTGCGGACTGCTTCCTGGATCTCCTCGTGGTCCTCAGACTGCAGGAGAGGTGGCGGCAGGGTGCCCAGCCGGGAACTGTCACCTTCGCCCCCGCCTAGGCCGCCCCCACTCCTGCTCCCCTTCCCCTCGGGACGCCAACCCCGTCATCCCCGGCCCGTGACCCAAGCGCCTCCCACCCTGACCCTCGAACGCCGTCTCTGAACCTCCCAGGGCCCTGCAGCAGCAGCACCCCATTCAAGTCCCGCTCCGGGGCCACGACCCCAGCCCTGCGACGCCGCGGGACCCACTTGCAGCACCGCCAGGATGTCGAAAACGGCGTTGGCCTCACTGCGGCTCGCCAGCACCGCCTCCAGCCGGCGGCCCAGCGCCCGGCGAGCGCCCGCGGCGCCCGGCTCCCGCTCCATGACGCCCCCAGTACAGAAAAACGTGGACGCCCAGCCGCCGGCGCTCCAGTGGCGTCGCCGCCGCGCGCAGAGTCCTGCGTCATCTCTACGCGCCATACCACACCCCACCTTTGCGCGCCGAGCCCGAGTCCCAGGCGTGCCGCCGACGTCATCACCGCGCGCCGAGCCCGAGTCCCGGGCGTGCGGCTGGCCATGGCGTTGTTCTACGTCGCGCGGTACCCGGGTCCCGAGACGGCGGCAGATGCGGGGGCGGAGGGGGCGGAGGTCGGGGCGCAAGGTCGGGCCCGCACGCTGCTCGAGCGGCTGCAGAGCCGGGCCCGCGAGCGGCAGCAGCAGCGGGAGCCCGCGCCGACCGAGGCGGCTGCACCGACCGAAGCGGCAAGCAGGAAGCGACGGCGGCCCCGGCGGCGGCGGCGGGTGAACGGCGCGGAGTCGGAAAGCCCGGAGGCGCCTCGGGGAAAGCGGTGGAAGGCGGACGGCCAGGACGCGGGCGCAGGTGGGCCGCGGCGCGCGGGGCGAGCGGGTTCCCTCCGAGGCGCCAGCGACCCGGTGCTGACGCGCTGCCCAGCAGGTGTCTGCCGGGCTGAAAGCAGCGAGGAGGCGCCGGGGGAGCGCAGCCCCCGCGCCAAGGCGGCTCCAGACGGACGGGTCCCGGAGGAGGCGGCCGGACCCCTGGCTCCCGGCCTGGTGCTCGGTGGATTCGGGAGGAGGAAGGCGCCGAAGGTGAGCGGCGGCGGCCGCCCAGGGAGGCTTCGTTGAGCAGGTGTCGCCGGGTCACAGCCTCGCTGCCGAGCCTGAGTTTCCTCCCCTAGGGGTCTGGATCCTGCACGTACGGGGCTCCCGCTTCCGCTGCTGCTCTGTTCTCCCGCCGCACACGCCAGCTTTCCTGTAGGATGTGCCTTCGCGAACCTGAGGGGTCTCCTGCTGTGCGCTCACCGCCTCAGGAGCAAGTCAGAGGCTGTTCCGCAAACCCGCGGCAGCTGTTTTTGCTTAGCTTAGCGCAGGTGGTTTTCGGTAGAGATACCTGGGAGGCAGGTGGAGAGAGAGAGGTTCGGCGGAGTGCTTGGGCACTTTAGGGAGGGCCGAAGAGGTTCTCTTTGAGCTGGAAGCCAAAATTTGAAGCCAGCTCAAGGTTGGGGTTTGGGGGTGCCAGGCAGAGGTCTTGAGGCAGGGACACTGGCATGGCTGGGGCAGGTGAGCGCCAGGTCACAGGGCTTCCTGGGTGCGGGCAGGTGGGTTGATAGGAGGCTGCTGGCTGAGTATTTTCGGGGGTGGCATCAGCTCTTGCTGTTCAATTTCTCTGAAGGCTGCATGGAAAGCGTCTCTTGGGGCTGAGGAGCTGGAGACTCGAGAGGACGCTTCCTTGGCCTCCCTCCCACAGCTGCTTCCGCCCTGGGCTTCGCCTGAGAACCTGCAAAGCACTCACCTAGTCTCTGCTTTTGGTGGCAGGTCCAGCCTTTCCTGCCTAAGTGGCTGGCTGAGCCCAGCTGTGTCAGAAAGAATGTCACCGAAGACCTGGTTCCTATTGAGGACATCCCTGAGGTCCACCCTGACCTGCAGAAGCAGCTACGGGCACACGGCATCTCGTCCTACTTTCCAGGTGCCCCAGCCCCGGGCAGGCAAATGAGGGGGCACCTCCCTGCGCACTCACACGAGGCTTCGTGGCCACGGCGGTGCCAAGTGTGGTCTCAGCACCCTCAACTCACGGTTCCCACTTGTGTCTCCTGAGGCTGGTGCTGTTCCGGGCTCTGATGCCAGCCTCTAGGGAGTGATTCCCAGCCTCCAGCAGAGCAGCCCAGCGCAGAGGCCACAGGCAGGGAGGCGGCAGGCCCAGGCGAATACACAACTTCTCTCTCACCTTCCTTGTCCAGTGCAGGCAGCTGTGATTCCCGCTCTCCTGGAGAGTGCGGCCTGCGGGTTCCTGGTGGGCAGAGGCGGCTACCGGCCTAGCGACCTCTGTGTTTCTGCTCCAACAGGCAGTGGGAAGACGCTGGCCTTCGTCATCCCTGTGGTACAGGTCTGTGTGGGGGTCCTCTTCCTCTGCAGCAGGTGTGCAGAGGGCAGGGAACAGCCTTGCTGATGCAGGCGTTCCTTCCCTCAGGTCTGCGTGGGGGTCCCCTTTCTCTGCAGCAGATGTGCAGAGGGCAGGGAACAGCTTTGCTGAGGTGGGCATGCCTTTTCCCTGTAGGCCCTGCTGTCAAGGGTGGTGTGCCATGTCCGTGCCCTGGTTGTGCTGCCCACCAAGGAGCTGGCCCAGCAGGTACAGGGACCCTAGACCTGGAGCGTAGCACCACCGGCCTCAGTTTTCCTGCTGAGTGTGCAGGGATCAGCCCCTGGGTTACCAAGGCTAGATCTGGAGTCCTTTTTGCTGAAGTGGGGGGACACTCTCTATCTCCAGGCCAGTGACTCCAAACTCCTCCTGCAGGTGAGCAGAGTCTTCAACATCTACACAGACGCCACACCTCTGAGAGTGTCCCTGGTTACAGGACAGAAGTCTGTGGCCAAGGAGCAGGAGAGCCTTGTGCAGAAAACGTAGGTTGTGTCAGGATGTGTGTTTTTCAGTGGGGGCCGTGCTCAGCCCTGCATGTGCCCTGAGGAACCACAGGAGCAGAGGGGGGACTGCTCCTGTGAGGAGGAGGAGCTGCCATCCGCCCCTTCCCGTGGGTGGGGTCGAGGCTGTGGGCGAGGCCACATCTTGCTGTCCAGATCCCTGGAGAAAGCTGCCTTCTCTCAAGCCACTCTCCGTTCTGTAGAGCTGACGGGTACCGCTGCTTGGCTGACATTGTGGTGGCCACTCCCGGCCGCCTGGTGGATCACATAGACCAGACCCCGGGATTCAGCCTCCAGCAGCTCCGGTTCCTGGTAGGTCCCCTGCCCCTGGGCCTGGGCTTTGAGGTCAGGGCCATGCCACCCAGTCCTGGGCTCCCTGCCTCCCTGCAGATCATTGACGAGGCAGACCGTATGATTGACAGCATGCATCAGTCCTGGCTGCCACGGGTGGTGGCGGCCGCCTTCCAGAGCGAGGACCCTGCAGACCCCTGTGCCCTGCTCCAGCGAAGGCAGGCCCAGGCTGTGACAGCCGCCAGGTACTGGCAGCATGCCCAGGTGCTGGCTTCCCCTAGCAGAGGCCTCTGCGCACAGCTCGCCGTTCTCAGCACCCGGAGACAAGGCTGGCTCGAGTTCCATGTCAGAACCATGTCATTCTGTCACGTGAGCCAGACCCATTTTGCTCCTGGTCCACATGGCATGAGGAATCCCATTCCTGGGGGTCTCGGGACGGCCACTGGCAGAGTGCCAGCAACACGCCCTTTTCTTCCAGCACTTGCTGTCCCCAGATGCCCCTGCAGAAGCTGCTCTTCTCAGCCACTCTGACCCAGAACCCCGAAAAGCTGCAGCAGCTAGGCCTCCACCAGCCCCGGCTTTTCTCCACAGGGCTGGCACATAGGGGCCCGGAAGAGACAGGCGGGGACAGGGAATCAGGGAAGTATGCCTTCCCTGTTGGGCTCACAGTGAGTAGGATGCAGACAGGGCAGAGGTTTGCGCTGGGAGCCTGGGGCCCCAACCCCCACCCCAACCCCCACCTCAACCCCACCCCAACCCCCACCTCAACCCCACCCCAACCTCCACCTCAACCCTAACCCCCACCCCAACCCCACCCCAACCCCCACCCCCTGCCATCCCTGCAGCACCACTACGTGCCCTGCAGCCTCAGCTCTAAGCCGCTGGTCATCCTGCACCTGGTCCTGGAGATGGGCTTCTCGAGGGTTCTTTGCTTCACTAACTCCCGAGAGAACTCCCACAGGTGAGGCCCTGCTGGGCTGGGGGCAGCAGAGGCGGCCTGGTCCCAGCACCCCTAGGCTCCAGCCTTTTCTCTGCCTAGGCTCTTCCTGCTGGTGCAAGCTTTTGGGGGTGTGGATGTGGCTGAGTTCTCCTCGCGCTACGGGCCTGGCCAGAGGAGGGCGATCCTGAAGCAGTTTGAACAGGGGAAGATCCAGCTGTGAGTCCCTGGGCAGGGGCAAGGCCTCTGTGGGGTGGGTGCAGGGGGCCACAGTGCTCGTGTCCCGGCAGGCTCATCAGCACGGACGCCACTGCCCGGGGCATCGACGTGCAGGGCGTGGAGCTGGTGGTGAACTACGACGCCCCCCAGTACCTGAGAACCTATGTGCACCGGTGAGCGTGGCGACTGGGGGGCCTGGGGCTTTGTGAGCTCCTGGGCATCCTGTGTGGGACCATCTGCCTGGTTTGGGGTGGGGTTGGCGTGCAGAGAGGCCATCGCTGGTCAGACCCTGGAAGGCCCGGGCCCGTCTGGAGACAGCCGTGTTTGCTTCCAGGGTCGGGAGGACGGCCCGAGCTGGGAAAACCGGACAGGCCTTCACACTCCTCCTGAAAGTGCAGGTGAGGCCATGGGGGTCTTGAGTGTTTCTGCTGCTTGTGGGTGACGAGGGGTTGGCCCAAGAGCCCCTTTCCACCCGTTTGCTTCCTTCCAGGAGAGGAGATTCCTCCGGATGCTGGCTGAAGCTGGGGCGCCTGCATTGCAGCGGCATGAGCTACCTGGCAAGCTGCTGCGGCCGCTGGTGTCCAGGTACGAGGAGGCGCTGTCCCAGCTGGAGGAGTCTGTCAAGGTAAGGGCCGCGGGGCCCCGCACAAGACCCTCTGGGGAGGCCGTTTGCAGAGGTGGAGAGAGGAGGAACAAACGGGAAAACAAGAAGGGAACAGAGGGTCACACAAGTTGTTCTCCAGCCTCTGGCCTGAGGACGTGGTGGAGACACAGCCCAGGAAGGGCTTCCGGCGGGGCCAGGGCCGGGCTTCTGAGCGCACGGGGCTTCCTGTCCTCAGGGCCCCGCGGCATGAGGGGAAGGAGTGTGCGGGCTGAGCCTCCCCATTGCTCCACAGGAAGAGCGCAAGCAGAAGGCGGCCTAGGCTGCGTCTCGGAGGCCGAGGGGCCGAACGCCCACCGCCCTTACTCTCTCCCAGTGCAGTCCTGACAACCGGATGCTGTGTGTGAAGACAGGACTCCCCCAGGCTCCTGAGGAAGCAGCCAGTGGACATGGCCTTCCTCCCAAGTGTCCTCCGTGCCAGGCAGCTGGGCTCAGAGCTCAGGCACCAGCTCAGACCGGAGGCCTAGGGGCTGTCACTTTCATAGTGGGAAGCCACCGAAGTTTTGGCCTCAGGTCAGGATCGCCACTGGGAGTGGAGCCTTAGAAAACTGAAAAGCACTCAGAGCACTCCGAAACAGGGCGGGGCACCTGTTGTGTTTGGCTAAGAGTGGGGGGGATTAACCGTGAGTTAATGATAAAATTTCAGTTCTTAAAGCAACACGAGCGTATCTACCATCTTCCCTTGGAAAGGTCACTAGAATCCCTCGCTCACATGTGGGCGGGAGCCCACAGGCCACCCTGATTTGGAACAAACGCTGAGAAATGTGGGTCAACGCTTGCCCAGGCCCGTGTCACGCAGACCCCAGGGAGGGGACGCTGCCCATAAAACATCCATCGTCACAGACCAAAGAAGTCAGCTGAGTGGTCGGCACCCAGTCCCCGCCCAGGTGTAAACTCGGCATGAAAGGTTCTCACTGCGAACATGGTGGGAACCGTGCCCTGGAGGCACTGACCACTGTCCGTGAGGAGGCTTTGTTTTGAAAGTTTTATGTGATTATGTTAAGCTGCAAAAATACGAGTGAACTGTGGTGCTTTTTCCGCCTGGAGATACCCGCGTCAGTGAATGACGGTGTGAAAACATTCTTGAGACTGAGGCTCACCGTGCGATACACTCGCTTCTCCCACAGCCACAGGCCAGGAGACAGGAAGTCCGCAAGCAGGATGGATGCTCTGGGGACTCAGACGAGAAACCTCACGCCAACATGCGCACACTTCACGGGGATGGAAGCGCAGCATTCGCACGCCAGGCCAGCTTCCATGCAGGCTGCGCACGGCACTCCTGTGCGTGCTGGAGTGGGGCCAGCTGCGGTCGGCCAGTGAGGCTTCTCCGGGTGCTGGCTGAAGCTGGGGCACCTGAGTTGCAGCGACGCGAGCTCTCCAGCAAGCTGCTGCGGCCCCTGGTGCCCGGGTACCAGGAGGCTTCTGGGCCAGTCCCAGTCCTGGGAGCTTCCAGTATAAAAACTAAGGAACAACAGCCCGCACTTCCCGCCTCCATCCCGTCCGCAGCAAAAGGGATGAGAACGGGGGCGCCCTCGGCACCGGGGAGCCTGTGCTGAATCCCAAAGCTGGTTGGACGCGCGTCAAGGAAGTTGCCCTGCTGAGCTCTTCGGCCACCCCCGAAGCACGGGCACCACGTGGCTGAACCCGGAGGCAACACTCAGAAGGGGAAGGAAGGCTCCCGCTGGGGAGTGTCCTGGGCAGGCACAGCCAGACATGTAAGGGGGGCAGGGAAGCAGGGGATGGGGGCGTGGGGGATGTAGGGGGTGGGGACATGCTGACTGGTGGGGGTGCAGTTTGTTTTGGGGATGATGAAAATGTTCTTAGGTTGTATGTGGTGATTGATGGCTGCTCGCCTCTATAAACCTCTTACCAAAACCACGGACTGGGTGGATACACTGAATTCTTCCGGTCCCATGTTTGGTTTGGAAGTGAACACTGACACATTACCGACCGCCAGGAAGACGCGGGCACGGCCACAGCCTACTCACTGGAGTCACGAGGATGGAGACTCCAGGCCGCCCTCAGTTCAGACCCCAGCCTGCATGGAAGGAATGCCAGGGGAGGACCTGGTAGCTGACTAAAGGGGCAGCTGAGCCTTTGGGCTGTTCTAAAATGCCAGCAGAGCACCGAGGCGACAGGTAGGGGAGGCAAAAGGAATGATTTAGGTGAAGCCAGGCCCGCCTGGCAGAAAACTTGCCTTTTCACAAAAAGCAGCTCAGAAAGCTCCTTTCTACTCAGGCAGTTCAAAGACATCACTTCTCTGCTAACAAGGAGCAGCATGAAAGAGGAGACTCAGTCACAGATGAGACACCCTGGGCATAGGAGGAGGAGGGGAGAGTCCTGGGTGATCACCAGACGTCACACACAGCGGGTCCCCTAAACCAGTGGGTCCTAAGAAGCCTATTCCTCTCTTTAGGGGAACTAAGCAGACGGGGGAGTGCCTGCAGCCATAGGAAGGCATCCGGAAGCACACGCAGAAACTCAGAAAAGCAACACAGATGGAAAGGCTGATAGAAACTGCTCTATGCAGACGGCACAGCTGCCCCCACCTCACCCCCAGGCCTCATGGCTTGCCTGTCCCCACCCCACCCCCAGGCCTCATCTACACAGATGGCACTCCTCAGGCCCTGGGAGGACAGGCCACCCGCTCGTCACTAGCCCATTTACAAAAACATTTTTACTGCAACTTGGCCACCCACTGGGGCTCCCTCTCTGACAGCTGTTCATTCCTTCTTCCTGTTAAACGCCTGCTCCGGATTCACTCTGCGTGTGTGTCTGCGACCTCAGCTTCCTTGGCCGTGAGACAGAGAACCTTGGTTATTTACCCCAGACAACAAGGCGGCTTCACCGTGATTGCTCTTTCCGGAGGGTTTGAATGGTTCCATGCCACTGGGTATGCAGACTGGAAGCTCTGGACCTGGCCACACAGGTGGGAGGAGGGAAGGGCAGGCTCCGTGGGCAGCTGGGGTGCATCGGGCAGGCCGGTCCTGGGCGTTCCGCATGGCCCAGGGTCCTGGAGCCTTCCCCAGGGCTTAGAGAAGAGATGTAAGTGAGGGGAGGGAAGCAGTTTGCCTGACGGAGGCAGCTGAGCACACAAAGGAAGAGGTGGGAGGGACAACGGGAGGACCCGGCTGTTGGTGACAGTGGGGACCAGACACCCCAGGCAGGAGCTGGTGGGAGGCCAAGGGGTATGCGGGGTGCTGGGCACTCACCGGCTCGGTGCTCAGGCCTGCATCTGGGGCGGGGCTTCCAGGGGTCCTTGCAACCTTCACGGAGCAGAGAACAGGCAGGAGGGAACTTGGATACAGGCTCAGCCTGAGCCGTCCACACACTCAGGTCTACATATGTCTCCGGAAGGGGCGGGTCTTAAAAGTAGGACAGCGACAGCAAGGAGCCCATCAGCCACTGGCCTTGATCCCATGTGGCCACGCGTGAGGGCACAGTGTGAGCCACCCCACCTGCATGTGGCCTGCACTGGCCTCGGGAGCCTGAGACACGGGGGACGGCAGGAACGGTGTCCTCCTGGCGGGCTGCAGAGGGTGGGCCACTCTTGGCCATTGGCCAGTCTGCTGCTGGGCCTGAACCGCAACTTGCTGGGCGTTCATCTAGGAACTAAAAGGGCAGGCCTTAGGGAAGGAGGGGGAAGACAGAGCCACAGAGGGCGACCAGCAGCCTTCACGTCTCCAGGCCAAAGTGTCCCGGATGGCCTGTGCGCCCAGCCCTGCGTGTTCTAGCTGTTGAGAGAGTCTGGGGCGAGTCGGACCGTCCAGGATCAAGGTTTGCACTATCAGGAAGCCAGAGCAGGGCCAGGCGCGGTGGCTCATGTCTAATTCCAGCACTCTTGGAGGCTGAGGCGGAGGCAGACAGATCACCTGAGGTCAGGAGTTCGAGACCAGCCTGGCCAACATGGTGAAACGCCATCTCTACTAAAAATACAAAAATTAGCAGGGCCTGGTGGCGCCCACCTGTAATCCCAGGTACTCAGGAGGCTGAGGCAGGAGAACCACCTGAACCTGGGAGGGGAGGTTGCAGTGAGCTGAGATACCACCACTGCACTCCAGCCTGGGCGACAGAGCGCGACTCCCTCTCAGGAAGGCAGAGTGAGTCCACCTGCCAGGGTGAAGGCAGGGTTCTGGCAGGCCCACAGCACGCAACTCAGTCACAGGCCCCCTTAACCCCGGGCTCCAAGGAGGTGGTCCCTGTCACTGGATAACGCAAATGGGCAATTGAGAGATGGAGCCACAGGCTCGGCTGGACCTGGTCTCCGCAGGAGGAGCCTCTCTCCACCCCTGGTCAAGGCCTCAAGGGCAGAACCACCCCTACACTCCCACCCAGGTCAGGGGGGCAGCCATGTCTCCAGAGAGCGGCACAGCCAGCAAAACTGGGACACCCACGGAGCAAGGACGGCTGCAGGGAGCCGAGGAGGGCGCGGCCTCGCCAGAGCACAGCTGTGCCCACCCGGCCCAGAGGGATACTGTGGGTGGCTGTGCGGCCCACATGTGGCTTGCCTGCTAAGGCTCCCTGGACCCTCTCGGCCTTACCGAATAAGCAGAGAGAAGCAAAGGGTGGGGGTGGCCACTGGGGCCTTTCATAGGCCAACACGCCCTGTTTCTGGAGGACCTGAATGCACCGAGTCCTCACCCTACAGCCCTGAGCTCCCCGAATGCACCAAGTCCTCTCCCTACAGCCCTGAGCTCCCTGAATGCACCAAGTCCTCTCCATACAACCCTGGGCTCCCCGAATGCACCGAGTCCTCTCCCTACAGCCCTGAGCTCCCCGAAAGCACCAAGTCCTCTCCATACAACCCTGGGCTCCCCGAATGCACCAAGTCCTCTCCATACAACCCTGGGCTCCCCGAATGCACCAAGTCCTCACCCTACAGCCCTGAGCTCCCCGAATGCACCAAGTCCTCTCCATACAACCCTGGGCTCCCCGAATGCACCAAGTCCTCTCCCTACAGCCCTGAGCTCCCCGAATGCACCAAGTCCTCACCACACAGCCCTGATCTCCCCGAATGCACCGAGTCCTCTCCCTACAGCCCTGAGCTCCCCGAATGCACCAAGTCCTCACCACACAGCCCTGATCTCCCCGAATGCACCGAGTCCTCACCACACAGCCCTGAGCTCCCCGAATGCACCAAGTCCTCACCACACAGCCCTGATCTCCCCGAATGCACCGAGTCCTCTCCCTACAGCCCTGATCTCCCCGAATGCACCGAGTCCTCACCCTACAGCCCTGAGCTCCCCGAATGCGCCGAGTCCTCTCCCTACAGCCCTGAGCTCCCCGAATGCGCCGAGTCCTCACCCTACAGCCCTGAGCTCCTGGAATGCACCGAGTCCTCTCCCTACAGCCCTGAGCTCCCCGAATGCGCCGAGTCCTCACCCTACAGCCCTGAGCTCCCAGAATGTGCCGAGTCCTCACCACACAGCCCTGAGCTCCCCGAATGCGCCGAGTCCTCACCACACAGCCCTGAGCTCCCCGAATGCGCCGAGTCCTCACCACACAGCCCTGAGCTCCCCGAATGCGCCGAGTCCTCACCCTACAGCCCTGAGCTCCCCGAATGCGCCGAGTCCTCACCCTACAGCCCTGAGCTCCCCGAATGCGCCGAGTCCTCACCCTACAGCCCTGAGCTCCCCGAATGCGCCGAGTCCTCACCCTACAGCCCTGAGCTCCCCGAATGCGCTGAGTCCTCACCCTACAGCCCTGAGCTCCTGGAATGCGCCGAGTCCTCTCCCTACAGCCCTGATCTCCCCGAATGCGCCGAGTCCTCACCCTACAGCCCCGAGCTCCCCGAATGTGCCGAGTCCTCACCACACAGCCCTGAGCTCCCCGAATGCGCCGAGTCCTCACCACACAGCCCTGAGCTCCCCGAATGCGCCGAGTCCTCACCACACAGCCCTGAGCTCCCCGAATGTGCCGAGTCCTCACCACACAGCCCTGAGCTCCCCGAATGCGCCGAGTCCTCACCACACAGCCCTGAGCTCCCCGAATGCGCCGAGTCCTCACCACACAGCCCTGAGCTCCCCGAATGTGCCGAGTCCTCACCACACAGCCCTGAGCTCCCCGAATGCACCGAGTCCTCACCCTACAGCCCCGAGCTCCCCGAATGTGCCGAGTCCTCACCACACAGCCCTGAGCTCCCCGAATGCACCGAGTCCTCACCACACAGCCCTGAGCTCCCCGAATGCGCCGAGTCCTCACCACACAGCCCTGAGCTCCCCGAATGTGCCGAGTCCTCACCACACAGCCCTGAGCTCCCCGAATGCACCGAGTCCTCACCCTACAGCCCCGAGCTCCCCGAATGTGCCGAGTCCTCACCACACAGCCCTGAGCTCCCCGAATGCACTGAACTGCTCCCTGTCACCGTGCATGTGTGTGCTACTGCTGCTGCCTCATCTTTCCCTCCCCTGTCACCTTCTAGGAACTTCCTATTTGCTCTGAAGACTCAGCCAAAACATGACCTCCATTCTCCCAGGGTCACACTCTCTATGCTTTCTGATACCACCAGGACTATGAGTTCCTATAGGCATGTGTTGGCTTTCCATTTATGGTAGGTGATTTAAAAGGATGGATGGATGGATGGATGGATGGATGGATGGATGGATGGATGGATGGATGGGTGAATGGGTGGATGGATGGGTTGATGGATAAACAGATGAGTAAGTTGATAGATGGATGGCTGGATAGATGGGTGGATGGATGAATGGATGGATGGGATGGCTGGGTGGGTGAGTAGGTGGGTGGATAGGTGGATGGATGGATGGCTGGATAGATGGGTGGATGGATGGATGGATGGACGGGATGGCTGGGTGGGTGAGTAGGTGGGTGGATAGGTGGATGGATGGATGGCTGGATAGATGGGTGGATGGATGGATGGATGGACGGGATGGCTGGGTGGGTGAGTAGGTGGGTGGATAGGTGGATGGATGGATGGCTGGATAGATGGGTGGATGGATGGATGGATGGATGGACGGGATGGCTGGGTGGGTGAGTAGGTGGGTGGATAGGTGGATGGATGGATGGGTTACTATATGGATAGCTGGGTGGGTGGGTGGGTGGATAGATGGATGGCTGGATAGATGGGTGGATGGATGGATGGATGGACGGGATGGCTGGGTGGGTGAGTAGGTGGGTGGATAGGTGGATGGATGGATGGCTGGATAGATGGGTGGATGGATGGATGGATGGACGGGATGGCTGGGTGGGTGAGTAGGTGGGTGGATAGGTGGATGGATGGATGGGTTACTATATGGATAGGTGGGTGGGTGGGTGGGTGGATAGATGGATGAATATATGGATGGGTGGGTCAGTGGGTGAATGGATGGGAGATAGATGGACAGATGGGTACGTGGGTGGGTGGATGGATGGATGGATGGAAAAGTGGATGGGTAGATGAATGGGTAGATGGGTGGGTGGATGGGTGGGTGGGTAGATGGACAAATGGGTAGGTAGATAGGTGGATGGGTAGGTGATTAGATGAATAGAGGGAAGATGACAGATGGATGAGTAGGTGGGTGAGTGGATGGCTGGATGGACAGACAGGTAGGTAGATGGATGGATGAGTGGGTGGCGGGGTGAGTGGATGCATAGATGGCCACAAGCAATCCTCCCACCTCAGCCTCCCAAAGCGCTGGGACAATAGGTATGAGCCACTGCACCCAATATATGTATTTTAAATTTAGCCATTAAGTGTGACAGATAAAGGATATAAAGCGGATGTTTAAAGTGGATTCCTTATACAGCACAAGCTCACATCTTAGGGGTGCCCCAAGCCACATTTCAGCTGGATGCCTGTGTGTCAAAATCTCTGATTAGCCAAAGCCAATATAACCTTCAACAGGATAAACTGTGTGACAAAGGAATAAATATGACATTTTATTTTTAAAATAGTATTTTAAATGTAGGGGTCATTTATTTGTATCTGTGAAAAATTTCCAAACTAGTACTTTTTCTTAAAAGAACTGTCAGCAACAGAATTAAACCCTGTCCTTGCAGAAGACAGTGCGGTGGACGCCAGTCCATCCCAACACAGAGGTCGGAATTGCCTCTAATCTAATCTTCCCACCACACTTGATACTATTACTTACATGTTTTAGGAACCATGTTATCCCTCTTTACGTTTGTATCAACTGTTCGTCTATTTCTGTATTTTATTATTAGAAAGTTCTTAACAATTATGTGCATAAAATTAACAGCGTTCGCACAAATCATACACTGCGCTCCAGCCTCCTACCACGGTAACAACAGATACGGGTTCATATTTCAACCGACAGAACTTCTAAATATAAAGTCCCATAAGCGTTTCTTTTCAATCCCAAGTGACCTGAATATACACCCACATTTAAAAGTGAATATTCTGGCTGGGTGCGGTGGCTGACGCCCGTAATCCCAGTCCTTTGGGAGCCGAGACAGGCACATCACCTGAGGTCAGGAGTTCAAGATGAGCCTGGCCAACATGGTAAAACCCCGTCTCTACTAAAAATCTAAAAATTTGCCAGGCATGGTGGTGGGTGCCTATAATCCCAGCTACTCAGAAGGCTGAGGCAGGAGAATCAATTGAATCCAGGAGCCCGAGGTTGCAGTGAGCCAAGATTGCACTGTTGCACTCCAGGCTGGGTGATAGACTGAGACTTTGTCTCAAAAAAAAAGGAAGATTCAGAAACTCATCATTGTAAATAATACGGCTTATTTATATTATAGGTACATAATCCCTGATCCAAAATCCTTAGGGCCACACAGGGCTTGGAATTCAGACTATTTCAGAGAAGGTAATAATGTCAGTCAGGTAAGCATGGAGAAAGTGTTGGGGGCGGAGTCTGGCACCCGTGACCAAACACGCTGGGGCTTCCACAGCAATAGCACCCAGACACGCTCACCTCCCCTGCCGGGACCGCGGGGCTCACCTGCCTCAGCGTGGGTCAGGTTTGCTGCAAGATGAGTCTTTGCCGCCGAGTAAGCAAAACCTTTCTGCCGTCTGAGCTTTCAGACTTTTACAACTGCAGAAAGAGGGCGTGAACCCAAGGGACGCGTCCTACTGATCAGACACGACGTAACCTGCACAGCACAGGACCCCGAGGACGGGCGGGCGGCGGGGTCCCACACGCCAAAGCCAAAAGGCAGGTCCGGGTGGGAAACCAAAGGCAAGACCGCACATTTCGGTTCTGATTTGACGTCATCCTGAGAAAATTCTATTTTGAAACTGACCC